GGGGCAGGTGCTGCACAGCCATCAGGGCATGGGACTGAGTCGTGAGCGGCTCGTCCAGGAGGCGTGGCTCCTGCTGCTATGCACATCCCAGGAGGGGACAGGAGTTATGCACCCCCAGATCTGCGCGGGGCAGGGCAGGCTGCCGCTGCGGGCTGGGGACAGGGTGGCGCTAGGCTCTTTCTGGTTGAGGGTTGAGGATGGTTGGCGGCAGCGGCACTGGGAGGGGACTACAGCAAGAGTGAGTTCTACATTTTGTAGGAATGAAGTAAAACTATATATAAGCAACCCAAGCCAGTAGTTAGTGTGTAATAAACTGCATCAAGCAAAGTTGTCCATAGAACATGCAACAATTTTCAGCAAAGCAAAATGCAGCCTCTAAACTGTCTAGTAGAGAGGAAACTGGAATAGCGGTACAGTATTGCGGTCGTTGTAAATAGAAGGAAAGAAAATGGGTAACCAGAATTTCTTATACTAAATGTGAGTGCTAGTATCCTAAATCTTTAATATTGAGTCATAGTTTGCGCTGGTTTGATGAACCAAAATGTTGAGCCAGCAGGTGCTTTTGGAATAAACACGGATCTAAGGGAAACCTTCAGAAGAAGCTGATCTTTGAGCTCTAGCCTTACTTGTATCAGAAGTTCCATACAGGCTTGAAGTGTGAAAGATTTGGTTACAAAGAAAGGCTGCAGTTTTGAAGGTTGTTTTGCTAGTATTCGAACAAGGTTTGTTCAGAGGTTTATGTTCAACTGGCCCAGTCAGAATGCTGCAGTCTCCCCACAGACCGAAAACGTCATTTGTCACATCAAAGACAAGTCACACTTGATAGGCACCAGTTCTCAGAAATTAGCCTGTCTCTCCACTGATAATCTTTCCTTGGCTGCCCTCAAAGCATGTTCTGTCTATAAAGTTCTGTGTACATTCCTTAAAAGAAAAAAAAAAGAAAGGGGGGGTGGGGGGAGTCTTGATGAAAGTCCATGTTTTTGTTTCTCTGTAATTTGGGTATTATTTTTTGGGATCTTTCCAGCTTAGTCTTCAGCGCTGCCAAGGAATGTACATATCTTGCATCTTACTGCATGTATTTCAAGTAGTGGTATACAGTGAAGCTTCCTTTAAACATATTGATCACTTTATTTTCATAGAAAAAAGAAAATGAATGTTTACAGCTGAAGATCCTGGTGCTTCAGAATGAGCTTGAGAGGCAGAGAAAGGCCCTAGGCCAAGAGGAGGCCTTATTACACAAGAAACAAAATGTGTTGCATGAGAAAGGTAAGTGTAGAGATGACAGGAACCTTCCTGCTCAACATTCACAACCAAAAAACCAGCCAGGCTGCTCTCTTAGCACATGAAAATTACTAGGAAACGGAAAAAATTTAATCTTGAGGGTTTTTTTCATGTTTTTCTCTCTGCAGTTTTGTAAGCAGGTGTGATCTCTTCAGTCTCAAAAGCTTGCATTTAATTCTTTGAGGCAGTGATTGTTGAGGTTCTATGAGTTAAGAAATCCAAATACGTGGGAGTGGGATCGTGTTAATCTACATGCAGCTGGAACGGTGGTGACAATAAATACTCGATATCAATCTTGCATAACAAACGTGCAGTGGAACTGCAGAGAGGTTATACCAAGAAGTATTGGGTTAAATAGTTGAATTAAGCAAGAAACCAATTAGCAAGTTACTAAAACAACTTCACAGTGTAGTAAAGAATAATAGTATAATAAAGGCATGTCATAAATTCATATCTGGGAATGACAGTGTATTTATTCATATTGCCATAGTGCCTAGATTCTCCTGTGACAGAGCAGGGCATATTGTGCTAGTCCCTGTGCAGAGACTATTCCTATAACAAGCAGCTTGCTGTTTGAATGTTTTAATGCTGTCTGTTGGTACTGCATAAATCATAATGCTTTGTGGTAGTGCTGAATACCAGTCTTTTTCCACAGATCATCAATAGGTTATGAGCTGCACAAATTTAATGGCTTGATCTCTGCTTGACATCTTGAATCCCCTTTTGATCTGTATTAAATACTTACAGATAGCTTACAAAGCCTTGACTTTCATGATGCAAATGGCAGAGCTACTTTTCTGCGTAACTGAGATGAGGTGTAGACCAGGGGTACTTAATCCCCAGCCCACAGGCCAAATTTGTCCTGTACAGCTGTGACATTCAGCCTGTGGGGTTCCCCATGGGTTGGTAAACTTGGTGGCTGGGGCACAGTTGCAATTCGTACAGCCACCCCTCCCCTACTTCCAAATTCCCAAGCCCTGCATGGCCCAATTGGTACCATGCCATGCCCCCCCACCCAGACAGATTGGACCTACTGTCCTGATCCAGCTTGCAGAGGGATCAGGCACCACCCATCCAACCTACAGGGCAAAAAGGTGGAGCACCCCTTGAATACAGGCAGTCCTCGCACTTATAGCAAGTTATGTTCCTGGAAAAGGTGCTGTAAGTCGAAACGATGCAAGTCGAATCTGATTTTCCCATAGAAACAATGTTATAATAGGGGGTTACATTCCTGACCAAGGGCCTGATGCCTAACTTTTTATAGAAATGACCATAAACACTATATTTTTAAATCAACTATTTAGTTAACTATAAATGATATTCACTGTACAGTACAAAGCTTTCTGAAGTGCACTGTATATAAATCAATTAGGGCAATACAGTAACTAATCACATAAACATTTCTTTAATCAGAAGGTGAAGGAACACCTTTAATCAGGGTCATGGAATTCAGAAGGGCTTCTTTGAGGAAATTTTGGGGAGACTTAGGGTCACTTGATGGCTTTTTGAGAAACTGATCCAGGCTGCCCTCTTTTTCTCATTGTACATTTCCTTGTAGTGCCGTAAGTGCAAGGATCCAGCGCCGTAAGTAATAACATGGGTGTAAATGGCGGAGCGCCGCAAGTTTGAAACGCTGTAAGTCGAGGACTGCCTGTACACAGTTGTCAGAGGAGATTTGGGCTTTGGTAGTGGCTTTACTTGACCAGTGCACAGTGTGTAGGGCTGGGATGGCACTGCTTTGGACCCTTCCCCACCATGTGCCACAAGATGTGCGTGCAGCCCCCGCCTCCGTGGAGCTGGTGCTAGGACTGCAGAGCACGACATAGATATTTGCAGCCTTCCAGCTGACTGCCACAGCCGGCCTGGGCTCTGGGGAGGGGCAGCAGGCATTGGGCAGGCTGCAAACAGCTGTGCCGGGCTCCACAGCCCTGCCACTGGCTCCGTGTTGGCAGTGGCTGCGTACATACCTCCGAGTGGATGGCGTGGGAGGGGCCAGGGTTGCACTGCCACAAGCCCTTTACCAGCCCTATGCCCAGAGGCACATGCGCAACCATCACAGCCACTGGTCTGGTGCTGGGGCTGCAGAGCCCTGTGCATCTGTTTGCAGCCTCCCGGCTGCAGCCAGCTTGGGCTCTGGACAGCTGCTACCTTGCAGCAGGGCTTGCAGCATCCTGGATGTCTGCTACAAGCAACTTGGGCTCTGTAGCTGGCAGCAGTTGCCCAGAGTCCAGGCTGCTTGTGGTGGCATGCCAAGGAAAATGGCTTCATGTGCCATGCTCTGGCACGTGTATTAGGGGTTGCCATTCCCTGGTGTAGAAACTGGCTTTTCTCTTCCATGGGGAGAGAGGTGGTGGTTTCTGAAGTTTTCTTTTTCTCCCAGAGCATTTTTCTGCATACTCCTTTTGCAGCATACTACAGAAAAGACATGCCTTGCCAGGGTGGAGTTGGCGCGCCAGAACTTTCATCCAGTCCTGAGAAGCAGTCTAGGTTTGAATTTTGTGTTAGTTCAGAAAGTAGACAATGTTGTTAATGGTTTCATATTTTTCTTATAATTTTTATTCCGTAGAAAACACTTTTAAGACTGAATACCAGAGGCTGCAAGTACATAATGAATCTCTACATGAGTTAAGAAAAGAATGCACTGCTAAGAGGTAATGGGACTTGGGGTTTCACTTGCATTTTTAAATCTTGGAGAGGAAGGGTGGTCTGGTGAACAAGACTTTCATCCAAGAATTGGGAGATCTTGATTCAGTATCTGTCTCTCCCTTGGAGTGCTTGTACCCCTGAATTTCTGCTTTGGTTTCTGTATCCATAGACTAGTAAGTAGTGGTGCTCCCTTTCTTCTGTCTGGTATGTAAGTTCTCTGGGGTAAAGACAGAATGTGTTTAATATTTAGGCCAGTAATCGGATCCCAGTCTTGGTTGGCCTTCAAGTACTCTTGCATTACCAAAGTACACTTAAAATACCCTTGAAATTGAGGATACATGCAATGTAGATGTAGAATGAAAACTGGAAGTGAACTGTGGCCTTTATAGCTATCCTCCCAATTGATAAAGTTATTTTGGGTTTTTTTTTTTTTGTTTTGCTAGATGGGGGTACGATTTCTTGGGAAGGCCTGAGGGGCTTGATTCTGACACTTGCAAGGAGGTTTGAGATCACTGATGTTGTTTTCTTTTCTCTGAAGAGAGCTATTTTTGAAGACCAATGCACAGTTGACCATTCGATGCAGACAGTTGTTATCAGAGCTTTCTTATATTTACCCTGTTGATTTGGTAAGCTTGGCATTTTTTAACTCTTTAGAATCTTGCTGGTCTACAATGAACTTAGCTGACATTTTTCAGGGTAAAACTCAGTTTTCTCCCAAATACTGTTAAGATCCATGCTCATGTCAGTCCTCTTGCACACGTCTTTTTCTAATGATGAGCTTGTGTGGGCAGGGCGTGTTGCAATGGAAAGGTGTAGAGCAGGGGGGTTGGCAACATTTTTGGTCAGAGTGCCAAAAACGCCCACAACCGTGACGTGTAAAATTTCATAGACATTAGGGCTGGAAGGGACCTTGGAAGATCATCAAGTCCAGCCCCCTGCCCAAGAGGCAGGAAGTCAGCTGGAGTCATAGGATCCCAGCAGGATAAACATCCAAGATGCTGGTGTGCCAGGGGTGGATGGTGGGAGAGCCATGAGGGGTCCGATCCTTCTTGTGGCCATGCAGGCTTGGCCCATTCCCTGCCATCTGCCCCAAGGCATGTGCCAAGTAGCCTTCGCGTGTCATGCTTTGGCACCCGTGCCAGGGGTTGCCTGCCCCTGGCATGGAGTTCTCGTTTGCTAACATTTTGCCTCTGGGCCTCTCCCAGTCTTCTCATGTTTGCTTGTCCACATCTTGCCTTACCCATGCTCTTTTCCCCTGTGGCACAGCAGTTTCTTTGGGACTGCTTTGCCAACCTCCTTTTTACTCAAGCAAATGAGTTTTACAGAAGACTGGATGCTTGATTTGGACTCTGAAAACAGCCCTAACTTCTATCTATTCTGTGCTACAAAGTGTTGCTAGAAGGACTTTGGTTTTATTGGCAAAACTGTGTGTGTTCACACCCAGACCTTCTCTGCGGTGGCAGAGCTCCCCTTTATGCCAGCATAGTTTACGCTACCTCTGTGGACACAGCCTGGCTGCATGATCCCTTCAGCTGGTGCCTGCCTGCGGTACAGCTTTCACTGTGTTGGTGGAGCTGCACTGAGCTGCCTGAAGAATACAGCTGTGTTTGTGCTGTGGCTTAATGCTGGGAGTTACTGTAGGCTGCCCCAAGCTTTGAACCCCTTCTCCTTCCCCAACAAATGAGCTATCCCAGTCCGCGCAGGCGGCAGCTCAGTAGGTTTGTGCAAAGTTTTGGGTGCTGATTTGATTTGGAGGAGGTTCGGCCCAATTTGGCGTCCGAATCTCTGAATCCGGATCGAATCAGGACCAATTAAAAGGTCCAAATCGATTCGGAGCTCTCTGAATCTTTGGAAAAGATTTGGAGAGCTTCGATGATTCAGACAGTCCCCACCTGCTACAGCAGAGAGCTGCAGCCGGACTCAGAGCTGGTAAGTAGGGGGCAGGGGAGGGGGGGTTGGAGGAGAGGGGAGGGGACCATGGGAGGA